TCCATTTAAAATATGATAATTTGTCCTCTACCCTTGGTCAATGGATTTATGGAGGTGACTCATGGACATGCCACATAATAACCTTTTTTTTATTAATATACTTGGGACAATTTCAGTGGGGTAGTCAAAAAGTATCAATAGGGATTTTTCCACCAAGTTCATTAATAAAGCCTTCTAAACAACCAGTGTTAGCATGTTTATGAAGGATTTAACACCGACCTTTCTCCATAGGAATAAATGGGAGAGTCCTTTGGTGCATTTTAATTACACCAATGTCATATGAATATATTTTATTTATATAATCAAGATGCATGCAAACTAAAATAATCTAGTTGAGGGAATTCTTGGTTCCTCTAAGGTGGTGCATATGAGTTTTGGAGAAACAACTTATCAAGCTTAATGCAACATTTTATCAATGGTGGGAAATAATGGAATCCTTTTAATATAAAATGTATGTGCTTATTTTTACAAATCATTCGACCCAAAATCTCATTGAAGTCGTTAAGATGTATGCATACCACTTAATTTGCAAGCACCAACAATCACATGTAAGCCCTCTAGCAATTTTGCAACAAGTTATTGACTCAATGAAGTTGGGTCATAAATTGTATTACCTTCTAATGAGCCCATATCAATGATCATGAATCCCACAAGAACATGCAGAGAGGCCTCTCCTTGGGCAGACCCTCCTTTGTACACTTCACCACCTTCTTTTTCTTCTTGGAGCCTTCTCTTTGCTTGATTTTTTGAACACACGTTGTAAGAGTTTGGAGGCATGAATATTGGTATAGTATTTAGCAATAGTTTCCATCTAAGTTTCTTATGGTGGAAAAGACAAGGTGATAATCCTAAGGTAGATTACATTCTGATGAGTCCATATTAATGAACATGAATCCCACAAGAACATGCAGAGAGGCCTCCTCTTGGGCATGGGCCAAACCCTCCTCTGTACACTTCATCACCTTCTTTTTCTTCTTGGAGCCTTCTCCTTGCTTGCATTTTTTGAAAACACATTATAATAGTTTGAAGAAGGGAGTATTGGTGTACTCTTCAACAATATTCTCCATTTGAGGCTCTTATGGTGGCAAAGACAAGAAGAGGCAATTGCAAAAGTGAGAACAAAAGCAGTAAAGTAGGATGGTGGCAACTTATTGCTTTATTTTTAAGGATTAAAAGGTATAAATTCTAATTGATTAGTTCACATCATAAATAGTTTTAAATACATCATTGATTTAATGTTTTTCATTATTCCATTATTATTTTGTAGGATGGATTTTTAAGAGATAAATAAATCAAATAATTAAATATTTTCGCCAAAAAGCAATTGCATTGACCAAATAAGGTGCTAAGAATACTTTGGGTTTCTCAACCCAATACATTGAACTAAAATTAATGAGCAATTGAGTAAGAGTTGTCGAGTACGAATCTCCAAATAAGAAATGCCAATGTGCACCGATAAGTGCATATCACCTAATGTACTTCCTTTACAAGCTAAATCAAGGAAGAGTCCATTTAATACCATCACCCTGGGTCATCTTACCACTTCAACTCACCCTCGTCAAAAAAAGAGCTCATTAACCAATGATAAATTTGTTTTAAGAAAACTCTCATATAGAAGCTGAATAAACTAAGAGATTTTACCGATGAAGTGCGCAAAGAATAAAAAGAGAATGGTGGTGTCGCCATAGGATAGTGCAGTAGAGTTAATAATGTTTATCTATCCATGTTAGAATAAAACAAAATGAGATAATCAAAGATTTCTAGAGAATTAAAAATATTAAATTAATCTTCATTTGTGTATATTTTATAGAAATAACTCTCATGTATAAGGAGGGAGTGAGACCTATTGTTAAAGAACGTCATTTTTAGGATTATGATTGTTAAAGAACGTTTATCATAACCATTTTCATCATATATAAATAATTTAGCATTTCTCATACAATTTATTTTCTTTAGAGCACTCCATTCTCCTTCTCTAGTTCTACCCATGAGAAGGTGGATTCAACAAAAAAATGCTTCCTAAAGTAATTCCTAATGATCCATAGTCTTTGGCAAGTTTTATTTACCGAGTTAACCAAAAAATATGAGCGAAATTAATCTTCTCGGTTAGCCATCCAAACAGTCCAAAGAAAATCCCATAGTGTACTTCACTAGTCCTCACCACTCAAAGGTAAGAAGCCAATTTTTTCAAGCCGTTGGGTTTAAATTGACTTTTAACATGATAACCCAATGCTCACAAGCTTATGTGTTGAGAGATAGAAGACAAAATTTGATTCATCCATTTTTTTGTGCTCCCAATAAATTTGGACTAGCATGATATTTTCTAACTTCACGTTTGGTATTTTTCATGAGAAAATTGCTTATGAAAAATCTATAATTATATATGTTGAGATTGAAAAAACATTTCACTAAAGCATTTGATAATTCAAAGTGAAATGTCCTTTAGAACATTTTCCTTGATTAATAAATAATGGGTATACTAATTATTAAAACAATAAGCTCAATAATAATAAGAAAATTCATAGTAACATTAAAATTGTGTAAATGATGAAGTATAAATATCAAATGGCTATTTGAAAATAATAGACATGAATGCAAACTTTCTAATAGTAATTTTCGTGTGTAAATAGATCAATTGATACAAAAGAATTGATTTTATAATGAGGACATTCATAAAAAGATTGAAAAATATTCATACTTCTAATATAATAATAACTTTTTTTTTATAAATAAAGTTATAGAATTGATTGTTAAATATGCATGGAAGATAAACTAATAGGAGTGATCTTTTCTCCACCACTATTCATAGCATTGTTACAACTTTTCACCCCATATCATTGCTATCATAACATCCTTTTAAGCCTTGAGACTCTATGACCCATGCTTTCCATATAAGATTAAAAGGAAGACCACAACTAGTAACTATGTCCCCATCATTTATGGGCATTGCTTTTACATTAAATAGGGCATGCATGTAATTAATTTTTATTACTATAAGAGCGGAGTGTGCCACTCATTTGAATTCAAACATATATGTTTTATAGCTAATAAGCATATATTATATAATATATAGGGGGAGGCGGTCTGATTACTTCAGCAGAACTTCGCTCGAGTTCACTAGATAATTCACAAAACGAGCGATTTGACTTAACTGGACATCTTTTTTACTCAATTCTTCAATGTAAAATAATTTTATACAGCATGACCTAACATTCAAAGCAATCTTTAGATACTACAATGAATAAAATATATATTACTTCACGAGATTTACTCTATAAGAAACCTTATGTTTATCAATTTAGATACTACAATGAATAAAATATATATTTAAATGTAAATTTATTTAGGGAGTAAATTATTATTCATGGTTTAATATTCTTAGGTTTAATAAATAAATAAAAAAATCTAGCATTCCAAATTGTAATATACATAATATATGGAGCCATTTAATTTATGCAATTACTAACACTTTCAATTATATCAAACAAATAAATTGAACCAAGTGGAATAAATAAGTTATTTTAATAGAGATTTACATACATGTCACTCAATTCATATGTAGGGTTGCCAAAACGGCTCGTTTTTCGTGAACAACTCTTGTTCGGCTCGTTCGTTAAGATAACGGGCCAAACACGAACAAAGATTTGTTCTTTCGTGTTCAGCTCGTTTTGGCTCGAAATACTCCTCATCAATTATATATATATTTTTTGATGAGTTGTATTTAAAAAAAAAATTAACTGACTACAAGGTTACAAAGAATATAATCAATTAAAAAAAAAAAATAAAAGTTATTAAATTAGATTCAAATGATGTTTTAATATAAACAATAATTTTTAAATCTTGCCCCAACCCCTTAACAAAAAAAATAAACTGTCTACAAGGCTTCAAAGAATAAAATCAATTAAAAAAAAAGAATAAAAGTTATTAAATTAGATTCAAATGATGTTTTAATATAAACAATAATTTTTAAATCTTGCCCCAACCCCTTAACATCTCATGACTGTGTGATTAGGGTTGTCAAAACGACTCTTTGTTCATGAACAACTCGTGTTCGACTTGCTAAGCAAACGAGCCGAACACGAAAACACTTTTTGAGCTCGAAATAAAAAAGAGCCGAACACGAGCTAAGCCTGTGTTCGCTCGTGTTCGGCTCATTTACACCCCTATTCATATGTATTCACACATCTAACAAAATATTTGCAAATCTAACACAAACTTCAATTTTTACATGCATTTCACTTTACCTATGTATTAAAAGATGTATTTCACCTTTAAAAAATTAAAATGGTGGTATTCTTTTCATGTTATGAAAGATTTGCATGATATGATTATGAAACAAAATTAAGGTGTTCAACATGCAAATTCATAATAATCGAGTGGTATGTTCGCAAATGCCCCTTAATGTAAACCACACAAGCTAGGTACAGACGTGCAGTGCTATTATAAATTTTTATTTTTATAAGAAATTCAGACCGCTGCCTGAAAGCTGAGGTGTGAATACAATGTTTTCAATATTTTCAAAACGTATTCTTTTCATGTTATGAAAGATTTGCATGATATTATTATGAAACAAAATTAAGGTGTTCAATATGCAAATTCATGATAATCGAGTGGTATGTTCGTAAATGCCCCTTAATGTAAACCACACAAGCTAGGTGCAGTGACTATTATAAATTTTTATTTTATAAGAAATTCAGACCGCTGCCTGAAAGCTGAGGTGTGAATACACTGTTTTCAATATTTTCAAAACTCACAAGCTGTCAAAACACAGTTTATCCAAACAGTCCAGGTGCATTTTCAAAACGCCACCCCACCAATAAGCTGCCTTAAACAAACCTGAAGATGTAAATGCATAAAAGTTGTGTGGATGAATGTAACTTTTCCTTAAATTAAATAATTTAAGCATAAAATATAGAAAGTCAGATCTGATTTCCGAAATTCCCTTCTCCCTGAAGTTATATATTTGCACTTCCCTTAACCTATTTTTATGCCACATAAAATGGAATATAAAATCATATAAATACAATATATGTCCATATCAGAAGGCATAGGATCTGGATTTCTTAGGGCAAGCAATCCATCATTCTGTTATTTTTTAGGTCTTTACCCTTCGTTAAAATATAATCAAAGGAGAATATGTCTGTTGACAAAGGCCACTCTCCCCCGACAACAACTTCACCGCCATTAGCCGCGGTCCCAATCCAATCACAGCCTCCTTCTTCTTCGGTTCAGCTAACGGCGACAGAAGCTACTGCAAGCTATGAAGATGTGGTGTCTGATGAGAATCTTTTCTTGGCGACGCTTGAGGCGCTGCACAGATCTCTTGGTACCAAGTTTATGTGAGTGGATTTTTGGTATTTCATGAGGGGTTTTTTTTTTTCTAAAAAAAAATTTCTAAAATTTTTTTTTGAAAGTTTTTGGAGATTGGATTGATGATTAAGGGAAGGAGTTTGGGTTCTTCGTAATTTTTTTTTTTGTTATGCTTTGATCTGTTTGGATGCGTGAAATTATGAAATGTTTGATCGGTATCCAGGCACTAATGTTAGCGTTATATTTAATTTTTTTGGATGTTGTTCGATTTTTGTTTGGGAGTTGAGTAATTAATGTCTTGGTTGTGTTTCCTTTTAGTGAGTTTAAGGTAGTGCTTCATTGCTCTCGCAAATCTCAAGGCACCAATTGTTTGTATGTTGGTCTCTCTCAAACTCTGGGTGATCGGATCTTTTTCTAGGGTTAAAAAAAAAAAAAAAACTATTTTTTGGATGGCTTAATCAGGAGTTTGGATTTAAGTTTTGCCCTTTTAGGACTGTACTCATCTGTTCGCTGGAGTAAAAGTTTGGCCCGTTTGCTTTGATTCTGTGCACTTATTCTTTCCATATAGTCATTATCCAGCGATGGAAGGATTTAATCTTCTTCATGAACGGGACTTGTTTTTTTGTTAGTTCTTAATGTTGATTGTTTGATTATCCATGTTATTTTAATTGGGTTTTGAAATTTAAAATGCTTTTTTTGGAATGTTGAGTGAAAATCACAGAGTAAATTTCTCGAACTTAGGATCTTGGAGATAAAATTATTTCCTTTAAGTAATGGCCCTTGTTTCCTTTTCTAAAATCCTTTTCTCTCTGTGGCTAATCATTTTCTTCCTTCATGATTTTTCTTTCTCTGCTCGTTTATGGTTGCAACCAGTCCTCTTTATAAGGTTCCTCTGGTTATTCTTATGTGGATGATAGTTACATGATCCTATTTAATTTATGCTAGTATTGTTGCCTTAATTTATTCTCAAATTTTTGGTGGTTTACTTATCTCATTATCGTGATATGCCTAGCTGTGTTAAGTTTGACCTATTTTCTCTGTTTCTTGGCACTTTGGTAAGGTTAATTTTTCCATAAAAGGCATTGCTAACTATCTAGTGATGGAAACATTTAATCTTTTTGGTTGATGTGGTTCAACTTTCATTTATGAGAGTTTTTTTAAGTTAGTTTACAATAATTCATTGTTATTATTTTTTGGTTTTTGACATTAAATTCCTTTTGTCTCTGTTTATAATTTTCTGGCTTTGTGATCTTTCCATTTTTTCGCTCAATCATAGAAGAAAATATTGACTCTGAGATCTCTTTTGGTTTAATGGTGGCAGAATCGCAACTGTGGTATTGTTGGGTGGTTGTATTTATATTTGTGCCAGCTGTGTTGGCCTAATTTATTCTTAAATTGTTCAAGTTTTTCAGTGTCTGACACTATTTCTGCAAAATCTTAGGATGATTCGTTCCATCTCTACTCGTGTATGAACAAACATATATTTTTCTTTTGCTTTTTAACTATGTTTTTGGTGTTTGTGTGAGGTGCTGATTTAGCTTTGGTTGATTATTCTCACATTTAATTTAATGTTATGTATTTGTTTCTTTTTATTTTTTAGACTGCTGTTATCTGCTATTACTGTCAATTTCTTTTATTTTTTTGGTTTTATTTTTATCATCAATATTTATTTTGTTAATAGCTCTTTGGAGACTGTTTCATGGATAGTAACCATAAATTGGGGGGAAAAAAGTTTTAAAGCTATCTCATTCTCGTTGTTTCACATAAAGGATTTATTGCTTGAGTTCTAAGTTTGATTCTTCTGAAATGCTTTATTGTAAGAGCTACGGTTACTTTCATTAATGAAATGAGATTCTAATCTTTGAAACTGTGCATTATTTACATTTAGATTCTTTTCAAATGTTTTCTTCTCTCTTCCTTCTTAAAGAGCTAATTTGCTTCCCCAAGGTTTATTTTTGTTTTTATTAGTTTTTAAGCCAATCAATTTTATGATGCATTGAAGTATTTTCTTTTGAGTTTGGGCCATGGTAACTGTTTAGTGAGAATGCATGGAACCATATCACAACTTATTTTACATTATGCATCATCACCCATTCTCAGATACATTGGTATGACATAATATTGAGTTTAATTCCACATTAGCTAGATGCAAAAATGATAGAGTGTTGATGTAGTAGTAATTAGAGTTCATTTTGAGGACTAAGATTTAGAGTCAAATTGGTTGGTGGCTGCTGCTGTATTAGGTGCAACTCTTGGTGATTATATACTCTAATAGGTTAAAATCATCATTTGTTGAGAAATAGTTGAAATCTATGCAAACACAAAGAGCGAAAAATATAGAAAACAAAAAAGAATAGTACACAATTATCACAGGGTATTATGTAGGTCCACGTAATAGGTGGTTACATTTTGTTGACATAACTGCAGACTTCACTATGATTGATTATGTAAAATTTTAAGTCTAATTTCTCTAATACATAATCCAATCTTCTTCTTCATAATGAAAAAATCCGGTGTGTCCGGAAAATACAATAAAACTCATTAACATCCTTAATGAATTAACCATAAATATAGGATACCACTCCACATTTGTTTCCTTCCTCTTCCGACCACTCCAATGACTAAGTCTGCATAGCATGTTTCTCTCTTAGGACAAACACTAGGTCACCAGTTTAAATAACTCTCAACTAGGAAAACATTACCTATTTCTATTCAAAACTATAATTTCTATGGTATGAAAGTAAGATCTTATGCACTTAATCATTTTCATGGTGCATCTAAAATTATGTGATAAAGAAATTCTTAAACAATAGTTGAATCACTCTTTGAATTACATATCACTTACAATGAATCTGGTGCTGGTCATGCAATGGATCTTTTCCAGACACAGAATGATATGCGGAATTGGAGCTTGGCATAATTGGTTGTTGTTGAGTTTTCACCCATTTTAGACCCCTATAGATACATCAAACATGTAAAAGCATGATGGAGGCAGATAAAGCAGATTGCCTGCTCTTTGAGAGACTTGACCATAAGAATATGAATATATTTTCTTAAATGTTTTTGATGTTTCATCAGTTTCACAATTTAAGTGATATCTGAATCTGAAAGAGGAGAAACAATACTTGCTTGTGTAGTTCCTCTCTAGAGGAAAAATTGATTGTTGATATACACTTCTTAAGTTTGTTGCTTGGCTACCAGAGCCACCTTTATCTTGGTCATCTTCATTTTTCCATAGTACTTATAATTTAGCACATAAGATAGAAAATGTTGTCAAAATTATATGCAAGTTAGCCTTGAATTAGAAAAAAAGAATTTAAGATGAATGATGTCATCCCTGGTTGTTTTCACTAGGAAAGGCGGCTATATCTTTCCCAATGATTGAGGCTGATGGGTTTATCTTGCAATTTTTTTTTTTTTGAATTATGGAATAGAAAAATGATTGTAAGGTTTATCTAGGGTGTAAAGAGTGATGAAATGTTTTAAGGAAAGCTAACTATATTTCATGAAAATGGTGATGATTGCCAGAGGCATCTCTATTGGATTGAGAGGTGAAGAGAAGCTAGACGGTATTTTGTGAAACACCAGGAAAGTGTTAAATGCTTAAAAAAGAAAAAGAAATAAGAAAAAAGAAAAACCAGCATTCCTGAGGATAGCCCTATCACTTGGTTCCTTGTTGAATGGACCGGAACTGTATACGGAATATTATGAAGCTTGAATGTAATTGAGATGATTGTGGTTTGCTAGATTATTGGTATATTATGAACAGCTTATTATATTTTGGACCTTATGTGAAGAATATGCTTGAAACATTACGTTGCCTATATTGTTAAAATAGCAATTAATTTCATAACTTGTGAGCTTCACATGGAAAAAAAGTGGCGGTTTTAATTCTTGATAGTGGGAAAAATCAAACTAGTGTGATTAATGCATAATGTAAACATCTAGGGTACAATCTGGGTTGGAAAATTGTGTTTGATCACTGCAATAAATGCTATTGTTGATGCCATTGATTATTAGAGACTCTTGAATAGATAATTTTCAATTAATTAGGTCAGAATAATTCAAAATTAGTTTAATATGTCAAATTCAGCACCAACGAATCATTCGTTGATCACCAATGCGGATGAAGAAATAAGGAGTTTCTGCTAAGCTCATGGAAAAATAGTTTAGTTACTAGTGTTAGCTGGACCATCATTTAATTGATGGCATGGTCTCTGATACAAATGAAAGATCTAGAGTTTGATAAGAATATGTAAATTGAATAAAGCTTGTTCCTAAGACTAATTGAGTAAAAGATGAGCGGTTAGTGACTTTTCATATTAGAGACCTTTATCAAGGAATAGATTGAGCGCATTATTTAATTTAGGTAGGAATAAAACCTATTAAAGATAGTGAAAAATATATTTGATGGCATGGACTTTTGCAAAAGATAGTAGAATTTGCACCTCCAAGATGTGTGGTTAAAATTGTTTTGAGGTACTAGGAAGAAAAAGTATTAGATATGGCGGGGTTGTTTTTTTGGAGGTTTCTATGTTTGTTGTAGTGTGGGTGAGAGGTTTAGGGTTTGATCAAAAGCTATGCAAAAAAGTAGACTAGGTTAAAATTTATGGGAATTTTTGGTTAAAATTTTATTCTACTGAGATGATGGATTTACTTTGATTAGAAAAGGTAAAAAAATCCATATCCAAGGTTTTGAATGTTTGCTAACTAATGTTGGTTATTTTAGGTCAGTTGGTTGTGCGATTTGGAAGTTCCATTTTTTTTTTTTTTGATTAGTCATGATAGGTGGACAACATAGCTTAAGGTTCTGGGAAGATGTATCACTCGATCTTTGTAAGATTTGAAGTGGCTTAAAGCTCTGGAAATATTATGGGATGTAGTTGAATAAGAAACAATAAAGAAAATTATATGTTATAGTACACAATTCTTAGTTGTGGTTAATTCAAAAATCCTAACAACATCAACTTCTTATAGATACAAGTTATTGTAATCGATTGAGCTTATTTTTATTAGATACATGGGGGTG